CCAGAAGGAAACACCCTCACACACACACCCAGAATGTTTAACCAAATAGCTGGGCACCCCGTGGCCCACTTCATACAAAATTAACCATCACAGAGACTGTCTTGTATATAAATGCTGCACTCTGAATTGAATTTCGGAGGAACTGCTAGAGGATGCCATTTTGAGGACTAATTAAGATGGAATGTTCCCTTCTCCCATTCTCCCCCAAAATAAACATGTCAGAAGTCATTCTGTGAACTGTCTTTTTTCTTCTCCGAGCTATGGCTAGTTAATTCTAAGGCATAAGCAGAATTTGAAGAATGGGAGGGAAATGAGTGGGAACTTCAAGAATACAGGTTCCTAGGATAATATTATTCGAGTAGGCCTGCATACAAATTATCTTCCACTCCTTTCCCTAATGGCCTAAACCAGCCCAGTCCTTAATGGATATGTTATCTGACGGGGCTGATGATCGTCATTCCAGGAGACACGAACAGAACAGCTCTGCAGAAAAATGACCCAGGCTGGGAATTGATCCACGAGGGGATAATTTGAAAAGTAGAATATGAAGCTCTGGCAGGCCCTAGAAAATTACTGTCTTGCTCAATGGGATTAGTTGTTGGAGATGAGGAGTGTTTTCTTCTTGGGCCTTCCCCCTTCTAACTGCTCTTTTCACCTGCTCTTTCTTGTTCCCTCTTCCGTGCCAGGCGCTGACCCAGGGCCAGCAGCATTCCTGACCATCAGCACTGCCAGGGCATGGAAGCGTAGTCAGAGGTTAACTGCGGTGTTGTGAAAGCAGAGGGAGTGACCAGGAATGTTCTTGGGGGGGGTATGAATATTCATGAGATACAGAGCTGGTTGTCACCCCTCATATCCAAGATGTGATGGCCAGATGCACCCTGGCAGCTTGCCCATTACCACAAACTGCGTTTGTACCCCGTGTCCCCCTCCCAATTCTCCCCCACCTCCCCCTCCACTGTGTACCCCTAGGTGTGTGCTCTCCCTCTGCAAGTCCAGTGCACCGCTGTGGTCTTTCCTTCCTTCTTTCTCTCTCAGCTCCCACATATGAGTGAGCACATGCGGCATTTATCCCTCTGTGCTCTGCTTATTTCACTCCACATAAGTTTCTCCAGGCTCATCCGTGTTGTTGCGAATGACAGAATTTCGCTCTTTTTTATGGCAGAGTAGAATGTTCTTTTCAAAGGGAAGGATGAGTAGAGAGAGCACAGGATGGGTTCGTGAGGAAATGCGCCGCTCTCACGCTCGTTGCCCACTTATTAGCGCAGGAGTCATTCTTCTGGTGGGTTCGGGGCTGGGTGTTCAGCCCTCCTTTGAGTGCTGTGTTCTTCTCTGAGACAGGACAGCTCTGTGGCCGCGGGTGGGGTGCGACAGCTGAGGGGACTGTGCCTGGGACTCACAGTCAAGTGTGAGAAGGAGACTGGCCAGAACGTGTGTTGGTGACATGCGGCACCCAGATGTTTCAGCCCAATCCCTCGCACAGACCTACCTCTGGGCCTCACGTTGGAGAGGGATGAGGAAGGCTGAGGTATTGGGGGCTGTAGAGTAGGAGAAGGTTGTAAGAAGTTGGGGATACAGTCTGCTCAGGTTGGGAGAAAAGAGGAGGTTGAAAAGGTGTTAGGAGAGGGTGTGTCTGTTCTGCAGGAAAGCATTTCACACCTCACTTGCCCGTGAAATATATATGCCTCTGGGATTATCAGTGCGATAGGTGTTACTGTCTAGTGGGGTGGGGACGGTTGCCTGATGGATTTAGTAGAGTAGTTGGCATGTGACTCCATCCATCCACCCATTCACCCATCCACCCCTCCATCCATCCATTCACTCACCCATCCATCCATTCACTCACCCATCCATCCTTCCACCCCCCCCATCCATCCATCCATCCTTCGTCAGTGGCATTTGTTGAATGACCAGCATGCACCACACACCGTGCCAGGTGCTGAGGAGATGAAGAAGAAGATCTGGTGTCCCCTCCAGGAGTTCACAGCCCTGGGGGAGACAGCTAAGTAGACCAGCGATGATGCCAGGGTGAGGAACAGCCTGAAGAGGTGAGCCCAGGGTGCCCTGATGGGAAGAGAATCTCCTAGGCAGACCCTGGAGGGGGGAAGGCTCTCTGGAAGAGGCACTATTTCAGTGGAGTCCTGGAGGATGAGCACGCTGTGGGGACTGTCCTTCCGTCAGCACAGGTTCTGGCACAACTTCCCTGCCTGCTCTGGTGGAAGACAAGCCCTGCTCCAGGGTCTGGGCAGCCTCGGCTCCAGGGTCTGGGGCCCCACCTGCCTGTCCTCACTGGTCCTCGTTCACAACCTTTCTGTCTCCAGTGTCTTTCCCTGCTGTGTGGAGACGTGTCAGATCTCTCTCATCTTAACATTTCAGTGCGACAACAGTGAAAACCCTCCCTCGACCTCAGGCCGTGGTGGACGCCTCCCGTGTCCTTCTGTGTGCTCTAAGTGTCCTGGAAGAGAAGTCCACACTCACCGCCACCCTTCCCTCTCAAACACCGGCAGACAGGCTTCCTCCCCCGGGGACAGTTCTTCCCTGTCCCAGTGTTCGCTGTCTTCAGTCAGTGGATGCTCCGAGACTTCTGCTTGGCTGACTGATGGGTGACGTCTGACGTGGCTGCCGTTCCTTCCTTCCTGAACCCCCTCCCTTTCTTCAGGGACACCAGTCAGGTCTTCCTCCCAGACACCCTCTGTTCCCCGTGTCCTTGTGTGTGCATCCCAGCTGCTGCTCTCTCCCACAGTGCCGGTCCCCAGAGAGCATGTTCCCCGCCCCGTGCCAAGAGCCGGGTGCCACGGAGCTTCTGACTCACTCTCCAGCTGCCCGCCAGACACGCCACCTGCCTGCGCCCGACGCCGACTCCCCACCCTTCTCCCCGGCCTGCTCTTCATCCTGTCCTGCTCGACGTCAGAGTCCAGGAGGTCTCCTAGACGCCTGTCTTTAACTTGCTCCTGTAACCCACCCCCATGCGGTTGGTCTCTAGGTTTTGTGACTGTCTTTAACGTCTCTTGTGGCCCTCTCCAGTCGCTGGATCTGCCTCGTTTCTGACTCACCACTTCTCACCTGGGTTACTACAGTAGTCTTGAAACTCCCAGTCCTCAAGAGCTGGCCCTCGGACAGGTGCTGAACTGGCTGCCCAATAGACGTTTGGGGAGCTTTGTAAAAGTACAGCACCTTGGCCCCCACCC